CTCTATAAACTTAACTTGGGATGGGTTTCCAATTTCTGAAGGATAGCCATTTGACTCATATAACATCAGCTTTAAAGATAAAAAAGGAAAAGGAAATTATCCAGTTTTATATCTAAGTACACCAGCCAGTCAAGGGTAACCGTGGCATACCAATATTGCTAATAAACATGCACTTGTACTTCAGTCAGCCAAAGAGCAATACACTTGTTAGTCCTGCATGGATTATATGTGTAAGAATATTACATGTACCTTTGAAAGTGCAAAGTTTAAGAAATCCTAAGGATAGCATAAAGGCCAGCTTTGCAAGCCACTTGATTCGTTTTGGTAATCCTTCTGGGGACAAATAGATGCTTAGAACAGGCAAGGGAGGAGGATATGGATGCAGAATAAGGCAGCCAACAAAGATGTCATATTTAAATTCCAGGGCAAAAAAAGAATCATCATGTACCTGGTTTACACTGTTTCTTTAAAAAAAAAATTCAACGGCTATTGTTTGCGTGGCTGAAGCAATTATTCTGAAATATGAGTCTCTCCCTTATTGTTTTGGTCTATACTTGTTTTTATTTCAACAAAACAAGTTATGTATCATATAAAAATAATTAAAAAGTACCTTAAATTTATATTTAAAAATTATAAAAATTATTAGATATGAGCAAATAACAATTTTACACATCTAAGTATTCTATTATATTCAAACAAGACCTGAAAAAATACTATACAATATACCTAAAACATAATCTATAAGAAGAAATAATTACAACTTTATGACAGAAGTACATTGGTGCCCCTGAAAGTGGTCAGTTTTCGTTTGTGTGGTCCTCAGTAGGCTTCGAGTTTGACATTCTTGATCTACAGCTAATCCTGGAAAATAATCCCTCACTCTCATAGGCCTTGAGGGACAGGCCAATACTCGTCTGCAGATAAGCTCCTAACCTGAAACAACCACACATCACAGTTCAATCATACTGACCCAGGAACTCACCCCTGCTATAAATTCTGGTGACAACTCTGTCTACACATCTATACAAGTGACATCTTTAGAGGACCTAACCACATAAGCCACCACATCAGAGGTTCATACAACTGCACATCCACTAATGTGATATATATAATCAAGTGCCAGCAATACCCCTCTGCCATGAATATTGGCCAAACTGGACAGTCTCTATGAAAAGGATCTCAAAGTGACTATACTCTTACAAAGCAATTTCAAAAGCTAGATTGAGAGAGAAGCTCAAGAACTTGTCTTCATTTGCAAAACTGACAACTTTAATCAGAATATGAAGAAAGACATGAACTGGATGGGCCGCTATATTCAACAACCTAATGGCATCAAAAGCTAAATATTGGGCACTTACAGCCCACTCTATTAACCTCATTTAGTACAGACACTTGAATTGACAAGTCCTCCTTATCTTTCCCTCCGTATTCCCCTCTTTTTATGCTATTTATATGTAGCTCTGGACCCATTCCTCCATTCATCTGAAGAAGTGGGTTGTGCCCATGAAAGCTCATGATACCGTCTACATTTTTGGTTAGTCTCTAAGGTGCTACAAGACCATTCATTTTTTAAGTGTTTTTAAGTGTTTAGTTATAGACTAACATGGCTACTTCTCTGAGACTTTCCTCCTTGAGGTAATGCCTGCTGAGCAGAGTAAAGCATGGGGTAATAATGAAGGAGAAGCAGACCTAATCCTTTCCTCTGTGTTCAGTTCTGAGGAAAAACTCCCCCTCTGCTTGACTTGGAGAGTTCTGCTTTTACAGACGTTTTCTCTGGGTAAGAAGCGAGGTGTCAACAACTAAGAGATCTGAAGCAGAAGCAAGAGGAGAGTTGGTGCCTGTCTGAATAATTTGTGAGGCCCCTAGCCTTTCAAAAGTAAAGCAGTAGCATCTTTGGGGTTGCGGAGAATGATGACCTGATGGCTAAGCAAGGTGTCTCCTCTCTACGCTCCTCTAAAGGAGGATCTGTCCTCCTCCAGTTTCCTCTCTTCTTTGGAAGAACGATAAATCTAATACACAGGTTACACAGAGACTGTATGCAAAATCTCTTTTGAAATACTGTAAAGTCTTCTAAAATACAGGAAGTTTCCTTTTAGAGATGTAAAATTCTATTTAAAATGTATGTTTAATTAGCCCACTGAACCATGCTGTGGGTGGGAGAATGCTCTGGTAAGGCCAGGCACTGGTTAACCAGTTACCCCAGTAAGACTGCTAGTAAGGCAATGCTTACCGGGTAAGTAGTTTACCCTTTATATCCCTATTTTCTCCCCCTCCCCCAAAAGTTTTCCAGGACAAACTCCCAGGCATTTAAGTTTTATCTGTTTAACAAACACAATATCTGTATCTTGGTCAAGCAAAAACAACAGAATTTTTAGAATATGCCTACACAGCTGCACACATTGCATGTGCAAGGACACACACACACACACACACACACACACACTTTTATTGGCTGGCTATGGCACTGCTACTTGCTTGCCTTAAGCTACCCTGTTCTTATGTCCACATTGTCTTCCCATTATTTTGGTATCGCTGAAGATGAAACAAGGCCACATCAGCATACATCACTGAAATTTATGACTACGGCCACTGGTGAGTAGTCTGGTTAGCAGTATTCCCTGTAAGCTGGGAGCTTGGGCAGCCACCCAGGCGAGATTGAAATGCCACCCAGCTGATCAGCAGAGCATCCACAGTATGTGTTTATATTGGTGGTACACAACTTCACATGCTTTAGTGCACATACAATTTATTCCACACACAAATAGAAAAAATTAGAGGGAACATTGCTGGTTAGTATTTTGATGTACTTTCATCAAACTACCACTATTCCGGTCAACGGAGCCCATGTCTGCTCCCTTTCAACCCACAGTTACCCACAAAATTACATTTGCCTGTCCCCAATACACTTTATCTCTTCTATCTATTTTGCCAAACAGGTTCTGATTCTGAAAACTTGTCTTGTCTCTTTTGTCCTCGAGTTTGAGTAACTGGCTTCTTAGCTTGCAATATATTTTCAGAATCTTCCATGAACTATAAGCCATCTTGGCTCCTATTTTTCTTCTCCCATCTGCTTCTTGTCCCTTGTCGCTTATCTCTTCTCATTTATCTGTTCTTGTTTCTTCTCCATCCACTACGCCTTTAACATAATTTATTAGCTCACACATATACGACTCTCCAATACCGCCAGTAATGTAGAAGCTAAGGATGTTAAATATCAGTTAATTACTAGTCAATAGGCACTTCTGCATTCCTCCTATGAAATGTACAAGAGCCCCAATTGGGGCACTTGTACATTTCAAAGGAGGAATGCAGAACTCCGCGTGTAGTCCGGGGCCAGCGGGAAGTCCCGCTGACTCCAGCATGCAGGCGGGCGTGCCAGCTTTGAAATGTACTAACGTCTCCAGTGGGGGCTCTGGTGCATTCAAAGTGGAAGTGCCCTCATGGCGCCTGGAGTCAGTGGGGGACTTCCCAGCTGATCCGAGGCTTTGTGAAGCATTTCAGTGGAACTCGGGATCAGCTGGGAAGTTCCCAGCTGACCCCGGACTCCACGCGGCGCTACCGCTTTGAAATGCCGCACTGGCACTTCGAAGAGGCAACAGCGCACAGCTGATCCCAGGATCATCTGTGCAGCGCTGCTACTTTGAAGTACCTCCTCTTCCCTCCACTTTGCTGCCTCTATCTGATAGAGGCAGTAGGCGGCATGGGTGAGGGCGGGAAATCGACTAGTCGTCTAGTTCTTAACATCCTTAGCAGAAGCTCCACTCTGGGTCTTTTCATACACCCAGTCAGTCACTACTTCCAATTCAAGTTCAAATATTTGACTTTTTGAAGATAATTTAAATTATCCATGCTATTGAATGAGTTAACAGTTACTTCTAAATTCTATCAAACATGTCCACAGGTCTCCTGGAACTCCATATAGTTATGCGGCACTGGTACATGAGGCAGCATAAATATAAGGCATAAAACTGAGTACAAACAGATAGTGTTCATGCTTCAGAATGTGATTTCACCAAATGATGTAAAGAAATAAACTATATATTCTATCCAAGTCACCTGTACTAATGTAATTATTATAATTTGTTAGCTCTAGGATGAACACTAGGCATTCCACAACAACAACAACAACAAAATGCCTGTATTACAGGTGAGACATGAATTGCATGCATGAACTAAATTAAATTTATATGGGAAAACACAATAAATGTTATGTGCAGCAAAGGGAAAGGAAGTTGAAGGACAGCAATATTTAATCTAATAACATTTTTGCAATAGATTTGAATAAGTCACCTCTTACAAGAAAAATAGAATCAAGGAATAACATTTGTAATATTAACAATTTTTTAAAAATATATTTCTGAAGAGAACTATTGTCGTTTCTGTCCCTTTTTTGCTTAGCAAATTAAGATCTGAGTAATACATGTGCACAGGAATGCTAGCAGACTCCAGCAGGCAAGATTATGGCCTTATTTACTTGATGACTACATTCTTAAGTCAACACTACAAGTACTAAAGTATAGCAGGAAATGTAATACTGAAACTCAGTAAATTATCTTTGTTTTTTTAAAAGAATCTTTCTAGTGTAAATGAGTCACAGCTAAATTATCTCAATTAAAAACTAAACTTTTATTAAATCAATTTCTTTATTGTGAAAGATTTCTTTTGTGGAAAAAATTAATGTGCAATACATTCTTTTAATGCAAGCTTGTTACTAGAATACTACCAAATTAAACTGATCACGCATGGTTTTAAACACTGCAGTGACTAACTAAAGCACACAGGGCAAGTAGCAGTAGAAAAATACATTAAATTCAAGTAATCGCATACAAATTTAAGGCTTGCATGTAAAAGTGACACTAAGGAAGGGTTTATTCTTTCAATGAAATTAATAGGCCATACTGTAGCAGTTGAACCATTTAAAATTACATACAAGAAAAAGTATGGTGTTTGACACCCCACAATTACCATAGATAAGGTAAGAAAAGCAGAATTATACTTACGGATATGATTCCGAAAGTTGCTGAGCTATTTTATAAGCTGCTGGGTCTCTGTCTAGTGCATATATTGTAATATCAGTTACTTTCTGTAGAAGGGCTGCAGTATGACCTCCTGCTCCAAACGTCATATCAAGCATATGCTGTTGAATGCAAAAGTAGTAATACTGTTACTTAATAATACAAAGTACTGTTGATTTAAGCCTTTTCTAGTTAACCTCTCTAACATGGTGTGGAAGAATAAATATTAAATCAATTTCACAAGTTTTTTAAAAAACAGCTTAAGGTAACTTTCATTGAACATGCTTCAGAGAACACAGCAGACCAATTCACATTTATTTTCTTTTGTTCGTGTTGTGATCCCATATGGACACAATGAGGTCAGTCACTTCTCTGAAACATCACATCTCCCCTTTCTCCTTCCTTCAGACTTCAAAAGGAGGTTGAGGGGAGTCTAAGCACTTCATAAATCTACTCAGCAACTTGTGGAATGGTGCTTAAAAGGAAGGATAATGGGTAGGTACAGAATATCAGTGTTTCACAACTTTTCCAGATCCCAGCTTGCGATGGGTAGACAAACACCCTCACAGACTTGTCCCCGTGTCAGATCCTGCTTCTACTGAAGCTGCTACGTCTCTTTCTACTTTTCTGCATCTGCTTCTCCCCGCTCCCTTTCCTGGGCATATTTTATCCCTCTTTGCATCTATTCTTATTCCCTTCACTTCTTTCCTGGATCTCTTCTTATTCCTTTCACTCATTCAAAGGCTACACACTGGGATCAACTGCAGTGCAGCTTTCCTTGAAGCTAAGTATAGTGCTACGGAAGAAAAGGAAAATAACTAATATTTGGACTAGTAGTATCCACTGTCTACTTGCACCTCTTCTGTACTAAACACATGAACTATTCCAACATTAAGGGCTACCTATCATTAAAGGAGCATATTTAGAAAGACGCTGCACTGCCTATACACTAATGTTAGCAGTCTGGCTAGCAAAAAAGAGAAACTGGAATTGCTTATTTATGAGCATACATTTTATCTAGTTGGTATTACTGAAATCTGGGAGGATTGCAATTTTAAAATAAATGGTTTCCTAATTTGGAAGGATCAAGAGGGGAAAAAAGGCAAGGGAGTGGCAATATATAGAAAAAACAGATTAATCTGTTTCCAAGTCACTCATTTTCAGAAGAAAATGATCTTGAAAGCTTACAGATCAATGTCCTAACACAAAGCACAAGAGGGGGTATTAGTTGATGTCAACTCACACTAGGGAACAGAATGAGTGGGTCCTCACAAACCTGTCATGAATAGAAAAACAGGCTGTGTGAACTTGGGTGACTTTCATTTGGTTAACATATGTTGGAAGTCTCCTGCTGATGGCTTTGAAAGAAACTGACTACAGAACTCAAAATGAATGGTAATTGAGGGTATGTCTACACTGCCACCCTAGTTCGAACTACCGTATTTTCCGGCGTATAGGGCGACTGGGCGTATAAGACGACCGACAAAAGTCCACTTTTGTCGACAAAACCCTGTAGTCTAGACACACCCTAAGCAGTGGGCCTACCCTGTCCTTGGTCTTCCTCTTGCTTTTAATGTATTTATAAAAGGTCTTCTTGTTTCTCTTTACGCCTGTAGCTAGTACCTGTTTCTGTTTGTGTACCTCATTTCAATTAAGAAAATAAGCCTTCTTGAAGGAGATTTAGTGTAGTAGTGCATATCTTGGTGCTGGGGAGTAGCTCCACCCAGTGACAGTTCTGTTTGAATGTTACAATTGATCATGGCTTGATCATATTTATACCTCAGGGTATGTCTACACTGCCACCCTAGTTCAGACTTGCAAATGAAGCCCGGGATTTAAATATCCCGGGTTTCATTTGCATCGTGCCGGGCGCCGCCATTTTTAAATCCCCATTAGTGTGGACTCCGTGCCCATGGCTACACGCGGCATGGAGTAGGTAGTTCAAATTAGGCTCTCTAATTCGAACTACCGTTACTCCTCATGGAAATCCCGGGCTTCATTTGCAACTTCAAATGCCTACATTAGCCACCCTAGTTCGAACTAGGGTGGCAGTGTAGACATACCCTGAGGTATAAATATGATCAAGCCATGATCAATTGTAACATTCAAACAGAACTGTCACTGGGTGGAGCTACTCCCCAGCACCAAGGTATGCACTACTACACTAAATCTCCTTCAAGAAGGCTTATTTTCTTAATTGAAATGAGGTACACAAACAGAAACAGGTACTAGCTACAGGCGTAAAGGGAAACAAGAAGACCTTTTATAAATACATTAAAAGCAAGAGGAAGACCAAGGACAGGGTAGGCCCACTGCTTAGTGAGGAGGGAGAAGCACTAACAGGAAACTTGGAAATGGCGGAGATGCTCAATGACTTCTTTGTTTCGGTCTTCACCGAGAAGTCTGGAGGTGTGCCTAACGTAGTGAATACAAGCAGAGAGAGGGTAAGTTTAGAAGATAGGATACACAAAGAACAAGTTAAAAATCACTTAGGAAAGTTAGATGTCAGCAAGTCACCAGGTCCTGATGAAATGCATCCCAGGATACTCAAGAAGCTGATAGAGGAGGTATCTGAGCCTTTCGCTATGATCTTTGAAAAATCATGGCAGACAGGGGAGATTCCAGAAGACTGGAAAAGGGCAAATATTGTACCCATCTATAAAAAGGGGAATAAGAACAACCCAGGAAACTACAGACCGGTCAGTTTAACGTCTGTCCCAGGGAAGATAATGGAGCAGGTAATTAAGGAAATCATATGCAAACACTTGGAAGGTAATAAAGTGATAGGGAATAGCCAGCATGGGTTTATGAAGAACAAGTCATGCCAAAGTAATCTGATAGCTTTCTTTGATAAGATAACGAGCCTTGTGGATAAGGGAGAAGCGGTGGATGTCATATACCTAGACTTTAGTAAGGCATTTGATACGGTCTCGCATGATATTCTTATTGATAAACTAGGCAAATATAACTTAGATAGGGCCACGATAAGGTGGGTGCATAATTGGCTGGATAACCGTAGTCAGAGAGTTGTTGTTAACGGTTCTAAATCCTGCTGGAAAGGGATAGCAAGTGGAGTTCCTCAAGGGTCTGTTTTGGGACCCATACTGTTCAATATCTTCATCAATGATGTAGATATTGGGATAGAGAGTACGCTTATTAAGTTTGCAGATGATACCAAACTGGGTGGGGTTGCAACTTCTTTGGAGGATAGGGACATAATTCAAAATGACCTTAGAAAGTTAGAGAAATGGTCAGAGGTAAACAGAATGAGGTTTAATAAAGAGAAATGCAAAGTGCTCCACTTAGGAAGGAACAATCAGTTCCATACATACAAGATGGGAAGCGACTGTCTAGGAAGGAGCATGGCGGAAAGGGATCTAGGGGTCCTAGTGGACCACAAGTTGAATATGAGTCAACAGTGTGATGCTGTTGCAAAAAAAGCAAATATGATTCTAGGTTGTATCAACAGGTGTGTTGTAAGCAAAACTCGTGAAGTCATTCTGCCGCTCTACTCTGCACTAGTTCGGCCTCAGCTGGAGTACTGTGTCCAGTTCCGGGCGCCACATTTCAAGAAAGATGTGGAGAAATTGGAAAGGGTACAGAGAAGAGCGACAAGAATGATTAAAGGTTTAGAGAACATGACCTATGAAGCCAGGCTTCATGAACTGGGCTTGTTTAGTTTGGAAAAAAGAAGAGTAAGGGGGGACATGATAGCGGTTTTCAAATATCTAAAAGGGTGTCACAAGGAGGAAGGCGAAAATTTGTTCCTCTTGGTTTCTGAGGACAGGACAAGGAGTAATGGGCTTAAAGTGCAGCAGGGGAGGTTTAGATTGGACATTAGGAAAAAATTCCTACCTGTCAGGGTGGTCAAATATTGGAATAAATTGCCAAGGGAGGTGGTGGAATCTCCCTCTCTGGAGATATTTAAGAACAGGTTAGATAGACATCTGTCAGGGATGGTGTAGACGGAGCTTGGTCCTGCCTTGAGTGTGGGGGGCTGGACTCGATGGCCTCTCGAGGTCCCTTCCAGTCCTATGATTCTATGATTCACATATGGTTAAAAAAAGGGATTAAACCCCGCAGTGTTTTGTTTCCTTTTTGGAACTTTATTATACAGATTTTGGCCTGCATCTTCTCTCCCATTAACACGCTTACTTCTGATTAGGTGTTTAGTTATTATTTACTCGAAGAAACTGTGGAGATGTTAGTTGCTGAAGTCATACCGACCATCACATATCCAGATAATATGACAAAATTTAAATGCTCACTTTTTAAACTAAATTCTGTAGATCTGATGTTTCACTAATGAGTTCTCTACTACACCAGCTCTGTGGAAATGTGATTCAAACACATTTCTCCTCTTCTCTCCAAAAGTTCGCTTGTGTTGACTTTAATTGTTCTAATAGGATGAAATGACCAACACATTTCAACAAAAGCTTATTCAATACTTTGGAGACATTGACTATAAATGAGCTACACTAACAATCACATATATAAGTTAAAACAATAGAATCGATAGTGCAAAGGAAACTAAAAGAAGAATGAATATGTGCTGATGGTTGGTGCCTAAAATTAAGATCTGGCATGATGATACCGTGGTAACAACCTTAGCGGCTGAAGCTTACCAGGTTAGTGGTTAATCAGTGACCCGGAGAGGCTGGAGCAGTGTTCTGCACAACTGGGTGAGGGGTCTCTCCAGCCTGGCCGGGACCTGCACACCAGAGCAGCCCACAGCTCGACTGACGCAGCCCACAACCCACATCACGAGGGGCTGCTTCAGCCCAATCTGGTCTCCTGCCCAGGGGATCCTGATTTAGCATTTAAACATAACATTTAACAGGTTAATATTTTAAACAAGATTTTACATCCCTAATGTGCATCCCACAGTGCCTGATATCACAATGTAGTGCTAGGCATTTTGGGAATATCAGCCACCTCTTTGCTTCCCAGCCCTCCCACAGTTTCCAACAGCTTACTTTCGAGCCATTTGAAACTGACAATCCTTGCTGTGCACTCCAGCACCTGTTGCGAGAAATCATGGATCCCAGACTTCTCTCCCCTGCTGTGTTCAATGTGCTTAGGACACCACACATTGCAGCAAAGCTACTTACTTATGACCTAG